AAACTGACGCTTCAAATCCTTCAAATCAACAACAAAAAATATAAACCTTGACAAAAAGTCGTCTTTGAGAATGCCTTAATATACATTTTATACATTTAAACATCATGAATTATTTCATTTTGCGTATGAATGGGTTTTAATAGTGCTCTTATCTATAAGCAGCCTCGTGTTTATTGAGGGAATTGTTTTAACTGTAATTGAAGCGTTTATTAACTTTTACAAAATTGTTGTCCGACCCGTGGCAAGGGGTGTTGGGTGTCCTCCTGGAAGCACGCGCTGTCAGCTGGTGGGCGCAACGAGTGGAGTCCCACAGGACCTGACTCGCGAGACTATACACTCGCTCTGTGAGTCTGCCACACACGCGCACACACCAAAGTACACATGCTGACGTACACACACAAACACGCGCACTCTTATGTCTTAGACTAAAAGGGGGCTTACAAATAGCCTTCCTTTGTTGTTGTTAAATAAAACTGAAATAACTAAAGACCTCTAAAATACATGTTTCGCAAAAACATTTTTGCCTTATGAACCACTTTTCTTTTTCAGAACCTCCCCAAAAATTAGGTTTAATCCTTTTAAAACCTCATTTACCGTGGTAAATTATTACAAAAAAAGCGTTGATGTATTAATTTCAATAGAGGAGCTACATTATACTTGTTTATTCTTTAAACACTTTTCAACAACGATAAAGGTTACAGAGAGAGTTCCCTTTAGGAATAGAAAGAAATAAGTAACCTAATTTTCCAAAACTTTTTTTTGTCCGCTCCCTTCAAAGACTTCACAGGAATTGCTCAGGAATTATTAATGAAAGTGGGCGCTGTGTACCTGCTTTTTTGTGTCTCCACCCCTGCGTTTAACCAATCACTTGAGCCGTGTGTCTACGATCCCTATCCAGATTAACATCGAGAATAATAGGCAATATCATGCACACGCTCAGCGCGCTAAATTATTCACAACCTTATCCATAATACCTTTATCTTCCAGTGAACCGCGCGACCATCTGTGCCGTCCTGTTACATGCGACCCTCAAACGACAAACGCGCTCAAATTTCGCGACCACGCGCCTGTAAATGGGGAGTAGCGACGCCTACCAAACTGTAAACTAGCTGAAAAGTTTATCACCTGCACTTATAGTCGCATTTAGTGTGATTATTCTTAAACTGTGTTTCCCAAAGTCTGTATCTCTCGTTACGGCATTTTACAACGGAGACTGCCTTTTTCCTTTAAGTGGCACTTAGATCGGTTATAAGGGAATGGTTACACGAGCTGTCAGGTCCAGTCGTGGACACCAGTCAGCTAATGCCAATGCTTTGACCGATATGTGTCCACTGTCCAGTTTGTCTCCTCAACACAAAAATAGCGCGGAAAATGCCATCAAACATGAAAACATTCGTCATTTTGTCTATACGCTTAAAGTCATTAAACAGAAATCTTTTTAAAGGGCTCTTCAGTTTTTTTTCTTGGTTGTGCTCCTTTTAGCCTATAAGAAACAGAGTATGCTAGTAGGCTAGTGTGCACTTACAACATTTGAAATATTCAACAAATTTTATTTTTGTATCTGACAAACTTCATGTTCCAATTATCTCATTCATCATTAATGTTTTACGTCATTTTGATAGTTTCTTTGTTTTTGCTTTGGTGGGAAAATACTGTATTTACGTGCGACTCGCATTATGCGGAAAGCCCTATAGGCTATACGAATCGAATCTCATTATAATCTATAAAACTATTTTATTCTATTTTTTATTTCATTTTATGTAATTCTGGAGTAGGCTATTTCTTTTTAAGCTAGAAGCCTAGGACTGAAGTTTTTTTTTTTTCAGATTTGTTGAATTTCAGATTCGAATTAGGCTAGTCTACATCAACAATGAATAAGAGAAAGATGGTTTATGGTGCCCATGGTCTAAAACATATTGCTTGATTTAATACAAAAACATTTAATAAAAGAAAACATGTATTACGCTACAGAGACGAGAAAAAAATACGTTTTTAAAAATTATTTAGCATTTTTTAATTTTCGTGTTTTAAGTGGATACTTAGCTAACTGTCAGTTGACCCCCGCGTGCCCTTATATTACCGCATCAGGGGAGACTGATCTGATATCAACCTGTGGTCCCATGGTCTTTTTTTTTTTAACTTATAAAGTATTCCTGACAACAGCTGGGAGACTGCCTGAGTTGAGGTTTCACATCTCATTAAGTATTGAGGTAGAGCGTTGAAGGAAAAACATAAACAAATATCCCCTCCCTTATGCAATGCGCGGGCTCGTAGAATCTGATAGGCTCGTGCGCAATGGTGCTATCGTGTTGCTTTTCAACTTCATGCTAACCTTTATATAACTTAAAAATCCAACACATGTGTTCAGTGAAGATTCCGAAACAGTTATGGTATGTTAACATAATGTGTCTCATTTAATACTTTATTAATATGTTGTGTATGCAGAAAAAGTTGGATCTTTCCCAACTTCACACTATTGGCTCAAACCTGATGTTTAGACATTCCACTGTTTTTGTTTGACAGTGACAAAATAGAACAGTAGATCAGTTTTGTATGCATTCCAATGCTGTGAATTTTTTTTCCTGGTGTGTTTGTGTTTGAGGTGGTGGGGAATTGTTTGCATTTACTGTCCTAGTTCCTCAACCATTTTTTTAACATGATGGACAAGTCATGAAAACCCTCCACCATGAAGATCAACACAACCTCCACCTCATTCAGTACTGGACGAACTTGCATGCATAGCCTACTGAACAGGTAAAGTGTTATAAGTGAGTAAACAGTGTAAACTGCCTGCAGAGCACATGCTCATTCCTATGCTTAGTTGAAAAGTGAGGTTCCTAAACTTCATTGAAGATAAGGGGAGTGGGAGGAGCCAAGGCAAGGGCTCGGACTCTCTGGGGACGTTGGAACAAAAGCTAAAACTGGGCCGTACTCTCCATCTGCTTCGAGACTGTAGCAACAACCATACAGCAAGACAGAAAAAGAGAGAGGGCATGTGGGGGTGAGGTGTACAAGGCATTCAAAAGAGAGGAAAAAAGAAGAGCAGAAATGGATGTTAACTAGAGAAAAAATCCACTGTTATAGTGCATGTTATAGTGTAGACAGAGAATCATTCTCTGATCTGAAAGACTTGTGCCAAGTAACTGTTACCCATCCAGTTATTGTCAAAAGAGCATTTCAGCTTATGGAGACACTGCTATGAAATATTAATGTCAAGTAATGTATTAGAGGCATTTGTTGACACATATGCATACACCTGTGCATGTAGCACAACTACATGGTTAAAAAAAAGCTTTGTGGCGTTTTAAGAAAGATTGTTATCTAAGCAAGGGAGGAAAATAATAGAAAACGTCACATGAGCCTCTGAATAAGAGGTATGAATAATGCATAGGCTTCCTGTGAACACTAGTCTGCAGTCTCTGATTATGCGTATCAATGTAACCCAGATAGCCAGGATTATTCTTGTGAAATCATAGGTAATGTTATCCATGAATGATCTTAACTTGCAAAACAATGAAAAAAAGATGTTTAAACAGTTTGGAAACATTTTTTGGGAACACTGAAGTATCTGTTGAACATAATGCAACAGTTATTGATGCACTTTTAACCCTTGTGCGGTCTTCGGTCACTTTTGACCGAAGAATTTTACATTTTGAATATTTAGAAATCGTAGCTTTATCGGAATGGTACGAAACTTGGTGACTTTTATGGCACTTGGTATGTGAACACACAAAAAAATGTGAGGGCATGATTCGAAAAAGCTAAGTGGTCGTAAAAAAAATAGTCACACTCATGGTCTTCGGTCAAAAATGACCGACCATAGGAAATGAATGGGAATGGCAAAAAAAATTGAGAATACAGAATTTTTTTGTGAGTACAATCTACAAATCCGCCACGATGCAGAAAAAAATTGCACAGCAATGAAGGGGTGAAACTCTAAAACATCTAGAGTGCAAAATCAACACACCCACTCACACCTATGAACTGGTGTGACTGTAACACTGCAACTGTGTAAAATAAAATCAATAATTCAACTACAATTTAGTAAAAAAGTGGACAGCAAGGAAGGGGTTACAGTCTAAAACATCAAGAATGCAAAACAGACACATCCACTCACACACATACACAATTATACACACTCAAATGAATTGGTATGGCTATAACCATATAGCCAAAATGTCAGAAAACTGAAATAAGAGGTTAAAATCAGATCAGGGGCCCGTTCTTCGTACGTCGAAATTTTTATTGAATTTAAATGTTTTGTATAACAAAATGCTTTCTTTATTCAGGTTTGACTGTAGTAATAATAATTAAAAAACTGACGCTTCAAATCAACATTTAAAACAACAAAAAATATAAACCTTGACAAAAAGTCGTCTTTGAGAATGCCTTAATATACATTTAAATCCACAACCTAATAAAAATAAACAATTATGTATAAAAACAACTAG